AGGAGTCCACGTGATCGTTAGGATCAAAAGATTCATCGTACTTGTCAAGGGGAGGCATCTTGAAGTCTTTGGGCATCGAGGTCGCCAAGAGCTCGGAGGATAGAGGGGACGACCCAGAGAGTAGAGGAGTGGTCTTTGTGGCTACAGAGCTCGCCTCTTCTTTACCTTTAATCTGTTCCTGCTGGTTTGGCCTCGCGAGCTAGCTGTTCTGAGCTAAAGTTCGGCGTGCCTTGCAACGCCTTCGTTGCTGCTTTTTCATAGGTTCGGCATTGGTGTTGCTAACCTTTGTATGGTTTGGTACTGCTCTGCTGCGAGGTAGCTCTTGGTTCTTTGGGTTTTGATGCTGACTGTCGCGGATAGAAGGGCCTTGCCTTGAGTTCGCGGCCAGCACCTCAAACTAGTTACCTGCGATTGATCCACCTTCCTGATGCGAACGTCGAGGAAGAGTAGCTCTATTGGGCTGTGTCTCTGGACCTGTTTCCGATGTTGCCTTGTGAAGCGGGCAGAGTGATCTGTCCGTCTCTCCTACCGCAAGGTGAGACTTGGCTCCCAAGAGGAAGTGGGACCTAGGAAGTCTCCTCGCCTCGGTGGGGAGATCGAGTGTTCTGCACACGAGGTCGGTGGTACTAGTAGTACTAGTAAATGGCCCACATGCAGTGGAGGGAACTGCTGCTGGTAGTACTAGTAAAACACATGTTGATATTGTTGGAACTGCTGGACCTACTGCATTTGGACCTAAATGGCCCACACGCAGTGTACCAAGTCATTGAACTAGGACTGCCCGACTCCGGGGGGAACCATAGATGGTTCAGCAAAGGTTGCGCCCACGATTGGAGGGAGCGGGGCGTTTACTTGTGTAGCACTTTGTGGCACGGTCAGTGTTGGGATCCCAGTCGTAGTGAGCGGTATGGTGAAATGACCAATGCACACTGATGGAAATTGAGGTTGCCCCCTAGAGACGTTCATTTCAGTGCTCTGTCTGGGGTGACTAGAAGATGCCATTGATTTCAGATGAGTTGTTGATTGTGCAGAAGACTTTTTGTAGCGATTCCCACATATGATGCCAATTGATGTTGCGCGATCTGACTGCTCCCTGCTGGAGGATGATCTGGCTTCCAGTCGGACAGCGAGCTAGGTAAATCTGCAAAATAAGACCAGAGAACCTAGGGTGGCTAGCCCGACGAGGTCGCTCCGATGCTTAAGTTAGTAAGATGTTGCGAGCTAAAATAGATTTGAGAATGTAGAGAGCTAGAGAGCTAGAGAGTAGAGAAATCACGCATACCTCATGCCATCGGGGTTGGAGCCTTTATATAGTTGAGTATTTGTGGGGTACACGAAAGAGTTCTGGGATATCCGGGATGTGTAGATGGAGTTTGCTCTGCTTCCGAAGGAACAGTATACAGGTAAGGCTTATCTCGTTCCTCCTCCGATTCTGGCGGAATGAGGATAAGTGCTTATCGTGATCCCGAAAAGGTTGGGGTCTATTAACTTATCGTGATCTCGAGGGATTTGGGAGTCATTGGAGAGACCTCTGGAGTTGGTTACGTGGGAGTCGGTTACATGAGGCTTTATATAGTTAAGTATTTGTGGGGCACACGAAAGAGTTTTAGGATATCCGGGATGTGTAGATGGAGTTCGCTCTGCTTCCTAAGGAACAGTATATAGGTAAGGCTTATCTCGTTCCTCCTCCGATTCTGGCGGAGTGAGGATAAATGCTTATCGTGATCTCGAAAAGGTCGGGGTCTGTTAACTTATTGTGATCTCGAGGGATTTGGGAGTTGTTGGAGAGACCTCTGGAGTTGGTTGCACGGGAGTCGGTTACATGTCGATTCGAGTTGTTGGTTGCGAACTGGTACTTCGGCCTTTTAGTTCTGAATTGGCTTGAATACTGAGGTGCCTCGATGCCGATGTGAGACCTGCATCGAGGTAACTCTACTCCAAGATGATCCTTAAGCTGTGGCCTTTGTGCCGAGGTGACTGAATACGCGAACTCCATTGTTGCAAATTAAACTTGTCATGCTGATTTGTCATCTCTTGGTGAAGTCGTGTCCACGCATCCCTTTTGACTAGGTCGAACCAAATCACCCTTCATTAGTAACCCTAGAAAAACATCCCTTCAGAAATCGAGCTGTAGCATGCGAAAATGTCGAAGCGAGATATTCCGTCTTCAACAACAGCGCAAACAGGGCCATCGATCAGATCTACGCGAAGCGGTGACATCAAAACGAAAGAGACCTTCCTTCGATGAGGAGACAGGCCCTCCTTCGTTCTCCTTTCGCAACGACGGGGAAAATCGAAAGGCGAAGGAACTCTCTCGAGGGAGACTCTCCCTTGTCAATCTTCTTCGATTGTTGGAAACACGAATTGTGCAACTGCAACTATCACCGAGCAACCGAGTAGGGAGAGAATTAAGAGAGGAGAGTGGCTTGCTCGGCAAGCATTTCCTCGAGAGAGGTGATCAAGCATCTCCATCGGGCTCTCCCAAGTCAACCTGCCTTTCCATGGGTCCAACGGGTCATCGGATTGTCCAACGGGTAATCAGTCTCTGCCCTATTTATACGCATCGGATAGTGTCGAACACAAAATCTTTAAAATTATAGACGTATCGAATATTTAAGAATTACCATATTTTAAATATATAGACGTGTCGAACATTTGGAGCCACCCTGTAATCAACAAATGCTTTTACGTAAGATCTGTTGTTTCCTTTTTTTAAGATGCTTAGTCGTATATTTGCAAGAAAAGCTCTTTAATGGAAGAGACCTCTCAGGAATTTTCAATTGGGTAAAAAAACAACAATTTTTTAGTGGAAGGTAGAAAGCAAGAGGTTTATTAGGAATTGAAGCAGTGGACTGTATTGGTTCATCACATGAAAGAAAAAAGATACAGAAAATAGAATGCTATATATGCGCCACTGCCTTTTGTTCTCAGAAAGCTAAAGGTTAAGGTACAGTAACGATGGTATTCTAGATCAAGAAATCACTTTTGTTTATTATGACTTGCATCATCTAGTATGAAAAACAGAAAAAAAAAAAGAGGAATTGATACCCAAAAGAATTGTCAAGTCCGCCAATAAAATCAACTTATTATTGGGGTGGGGGGTCCTTCTTTATAGTTGAGTTCCAACTTATATTGATGGTGCTTTCAAAACTTTAGGAGGGTCATGATCCTCCCTCGCCTCCTTATCACTATGAAATAACAATAGAAAAACAAAAGAAAATTTATAGTCAAGCTAAACAATTTTGACCAGAAGCTCACCAATTAAAAAGATAAAAAATAAAAAATAAGAAAAAAAAAACAGATTGAGAAATTAAGGGACTATTTGGTTTGTAGTTGGAATCAAAATCCCTTGGAATTAGAATAATTCATTTTCATAGTCAGTTTGATTAACAGAAGAATCAGAGTCAAAATTAAAATAAATTGAAATGAGATTTCATTCCCAAAGAAGGGGAGGGAGTGGTCATTCCTTCAAATGGGGGAATGACATTCTGGTAGGAATGGAAATGGGAAGTGGACAGATTTCCTACACATTTTCTCCACCTGCACCCTACCGGCCCACAATACATTGCAGCCGCACATCTTACAATATAAGATGATGATGTGTGGCTGCAATTCAAGATAGGTAGAGTGTGGGCGGAGAGTAGTGGGCAAGAAATCTGATTTGGAATGGGAATGAGAATGGCCCATTCCATTTCAGATTTATACCCCTATTCGCACAAACCAAATGGGCCCTAACTGATTAACTCAAACTCTTATTGTACCATTTGAGTTTGATCCAACCTTAGTTTGAGCGCAGATCTCCTGACCACAAGACACTACAGGTGTACATTAGGAACATCTTCCATTTTAACATATTACCATTAATGGAGAGATGTTCCTAATGTACAGGTGTAGTGTCATGTGGGTAGGAGATCTGGAATGCCTAAATTCAGTTACTAATAATTACATGACTGGTTGAACAATTGACCCATTTCACTCATTTAGTGGGTTTTTGGCATCAATGCTGTTTTTTAACAAAGTGGTGTTTCAAACAATGCCCTCTTGTTCGGTATTGTGTTTTTCAGAAAAAATGCTGCTCTAGACCATGCCTTGGAAATCGGAAAAGTGTGGTTTGGAGCAACACCAAATTCAATGTTTTATGAGAAAATGGCATATTATTGCCAGTAATGAAATGATGTGGCATTATTCCAGATATTGGGTAATATAGATCAATATTGAAAACGTTGTTGCCAGCACTATTACCAAACAAAACCAGTGTTATTTTCTCAGAAAACACCTGTCGTAAAACCGGTTCCAAACAAAGTTATAACTCCACATGTCTAGTACCATTTTTATGAGAAAACGGTGTGATGTTCCCAGCACCGATGCTAAACACTTAGTCTGTTACCATTTTTATCTTTTTATTTTTAAATTTTACATACATGCCATGACGTTACAAGTTAATCGGCTGAACCATTGAGCCATTGATCCAAAGGAAAAATAATGTACCCTCTGAATTGAGTTTTAAAGCATTGATTTTATTTCTTTATTGAAAATCTAAATCATACTTGGGGGTGTTCTTTTTTAAGATTTTGAGAGGGGGGAAAGTTGGTCAATGGGATTTTGGTTCCCATTGTCCAAAAATTTTATGTTCTTTTTTCAGACTTATGTGGGAACCAGGAAAAGTTTATTTTCCTGGGTATCATTGCCTAGGAAAGTGATACCCATCTTCTAGATGGATAAATAACTTTCCCACATAGGGGGAAGTTACCAACATTTGAATGTGACAAAAATGCCCCTTTTAATAATGGATTTCTATTGTTAAAATGGTCATTGCACTTACCTGGATAAACAGATAATTGCATTTACCCGGATAAATAAATTACCGAAAAACGAACCGACCCTTGGTATCTTGTTATTGCTTGTGGGTTAAATAAAAGATGCTTAACAATTCAACGTGTAAAATAGAGTTTTCAATTTTCTTGATAGAAACCTTATAGGAGTAAGTTTGCTGATGAAAGTAATTAATAGGTGTCAAGTGGTAACTAGACATATCACAGTTTAAAGAAAGACATATAACATCTATCTGAACTTAAAGCCAAGGAGTACAACGTACTAACAAGCATAAATACGTAATTTGTTTTTCTTCTGCAGCGATCATCCTCAAAACTCAAAAGTAATATAAACCTAGCTCTTTGTTATCGTCTTCCACCGGAACCGATCTCCCTTGGGCAATTGAAATAAACAGCAGCAACTGGCAACCCCAGATTGTAAAGCTCGGCGAAGTCTCTAACATTGAAATTTGAACGCCAGCCCGGAGCATCAGTCTCCTGCCTCACTGTTTGCTCAAATAACACGAACACGATACGGTGAATTCCAGCCACTGGACGTGGACTCTGGTAGCATAGTATCTCATTACCTGAAAGTGAAACCAACAACAGATGAATAAAACTTATGTTAGCATGTGTTTGGTATGAATGCCGTTTTTTTGCAGTGCATTTTCTCTATATCAATACCATATAGGCATTTTTTTCCTCTCTACTTTTTTTTTTATTTAATTGAGTATTTTGATCAAGTGTTTTCAAACAGTTTTAAGTAATACTCATAATTTGGGTCTTATACTAAAATGATGTTTTTTGTAATGGAAAAACCATTTTTTCCTTGCCTATGTTTATGTGGTGCCTAACTGGCACCAAATAATAATAAAAAATGGGGGTTTTTACTGTTCGGTCCACCTTCAGAAATCCTAAGTGCCATTTTAGAATTGATGTCAATTCACAGGAGGGTATGGATGTTATAGGTAGAGGTATTTATAATTTTGAACTATTGTAGATCTGTAGTTTAATTCAGAATTCTTAGGTGGAATGCAGTCTATTTATCCCTAAAAAATTATGCATAGAATGCAAAATATTTAATGAATTTCAAAAAGCATTACCGTTGCCTAAAAAACGGCATTGATACCAAACAAGGCCTTACCGGTTTCATTACAAAACCTTCCCGGCTTATAAACCCAATCACTCGCCTACAAATTGTTTATGATAGAAATATTTGGGTCTTCCTAGACATGGACAGGGTTGGCCTGTTGACCCCCGGAGCCTGACTGACCATCTTCCGATCAATGGGTCACGATCGGACTCAATAAATTTAAATTGAAAAAGGCTGGGCTTGGTCCAGGCTAAGGCTTTAAAAGAAAAAAAAAAATCCTTTCTGTCGGGCTTGGTCCGCTTGGATACCTCTGAAGCTGTCAGAAGCCTTTAAATAGAATAGAACATTTGAACATAAAATTATGATTATGTGTATCTTAACTTCTAAATATTTGCTTTTAGACTTACCATAACTTGCTTCGCTTCCTCCGGGAATGTCGTTCACCAACCTAGATTATCATAGAAAGCTTGTCAGTACTAATGATAAGCTGCAAAAAATAAGTGGCCGAATCAGGTAGATTTGTTGCCCATTACAAAGCTCAATCTTGTTTCAGAGGAAGATGTACTCAAATCCCTAAGACATATGCATTCGACAGTCTCAAGGTTAGAGAGTTGAGTGTTGACCTGATTAAGGCTGATTAAAGAGGGATTACTACAGCCAACAAGAGATTTTGCTAATAAGTTAGTTGACACCTTTTAGTGGAGTCCCAATAAAGTAATGCAGATGTGAATTCTGTATTCATAGATGTGTTCTCTCTTTAGGTGGGATCCTCTAACCCATTGACCAGAGTCCACAAACTCTGTTCCTTTCCCAAGCAGACACGTAAACCTTCAATCTAGGTGTTTTTTTTTTCATATAAATTCCCCAACAGTAGACACAGTCACCACCCGTGTGTTTGGAAAACAGGGGTGGGTTAGTAAGTCACTTGAGTCAATGGTCCTGCAGGTGATATGCTCTGGAGTCTAGAGCATGTGACAGGGACTTTGGGTTAAAATTTCCATTAGAATAGAGGATGATGATGATGATATGGGGAACACATTTTATTTATTTATTTTCTTTTGAGAGCCAACTGGGTGAGGACGAGCTGCTCCAGACGGCAGGGAACCCCTAGTTGCCAAATGGGATTCAATCCCAAGTCTTCAGGAGCACCAACAGAGATGGCTGACATCTAAGCTACCAGTAGTACAAAAATTATGAATCATTTAAAAGTATTTTCTAAGATGAATGCTAGAGTGTACAATTTGTTTTCTTGTATATATGCTTTAGAATCAATAGATCCATTGAAACAATATCAGAGAGAGAGAGAGAAACCAGTGCAAATACTCCCTCATATTGGGATCAGCTGGGCTAGGAGCATCAGGGTCAACCATTACCTGAAAGGAGAAGAAGCATATATAGTTGAAGCAAGAAACTAGTGATGCAAGGTAAATGGGAATTGTAGAGGATTTAAGGAGTAATTAAGTAGCTAGCTAGTGCAAAAGTAACTACCTGAAAGGAGCAAGTGTGACAACTTACCAGTGTGTACATCTTCCTTCGGTCACTCCCTCCAATTTCAACCCTAGGTTGATTAACCACTTCAGAGGGCCTAAACTCAAACCCATTGTTAACTTCCCTATTGTTGTAGAATACTCTAAGGGATATGGATTTATCGAAGGGATCCAACACATCCCCTATCACACGACCAAGAACTAAAGGGTCTCTTCTCCTCGACATGGTTGAAAATTAAAACAACACAGCCAACTAATTAGCTACAAGTATACAAGTAGTACTTATAGCAATCAACTCGGGGCAATTGATGATCATGAGAGGAAGCTATATATATACTGAAGGCAGCCAGCATCTTTTCCTCTTACTTTCCTTGTATGACCGGAATCCACTTTTTATTGCACACTCCAATATCAATCAATATGCTGTAACTATTTTTCCACTTTTGCACCCCAAAACTAGGTGGGCCGTCTGCTATATATTCCTATTCTGGTGGAATATTGTTGTGAGATTGAAAACCTTGTTCTTGTTGGGGAATAATAATATATAATCTCTCTCAGGCATCAAACTTGTTTGACCTTCATAGGTTGCTTCACACTTGTTGATCTGGGGATGCTAGCTACCTGATCATCATCAGTAGTCCCATTAATTCACTCTTTTATCCTTGTTTCAGCGCTCAAAGGAAATTCATCAACTCTTCTTTATTTATCATTTTTTATTTCTTCCATCTCTATTAATTTCTCTATCTGCATGATACCAATGAGAAACACCCTGGTTGTCAAACGTATGTACGTATACACAGACAAAATGTTCTCCCAATAATAATTGTTTGGACTTGATCCAGAGAAGGACATATATTCCAATTCAATTTTATTGTACAAAGTACCCCGCCACCCACCACCACCATCCATCCAACAACTAAATAAATGAGTAGAGTTTAGGGGGCGGTCTTTTTCACCTAGGGCCTCTGACGTATTCTACCTTGCAGTACCTCGGCCACCTTTCTTCGGCTTTTACAGTATTCAAAGCCTTTTTTGCATTGGCCCGTATACCTTGGCCTTGGCAACAAGCTCTCCGAACCCTTGAAGTTTTCAGATTCTAGGGGTGAAATTACTTTGTTTTCCTCGGCTATCTCGAGCATCAACAATTGGCGCCGTCTATGGGAAGCATCACTAGGACATTTCCTAAAAGAACTTTAACAAGCTAACAAGTCCCCAAGCTCCAACCAACCAACATGGTACGAAGAACAAGAAATACACAAAATCTTGTCACCAATGAACAGTTCTAGGTCGTGCTCGACTGCCTGGAATACTTGACATAGTGAGTCGAGCAGAACTACCCCCAGGCAGGAGGCCGCCCCTAGGGTGGCTGCCCTGCCGGGGAGTCAACATAGCTAGGTCGGCATGGGTCCACCAGCCAATCGGTCCCCAGCCTTGGCCACGCGCAGCGGACCGAGCCCTTAGAGTCTGGTAGCATTCGTCCAGCCGACCCGCTCTCCCGAACTACCAGACCTCCCAACCAAAGGGAGGAGGAACCGGAATGATCAGAGGATAGTCGTCAGCCCTCTGAGCAACATCACCAACACCGAAGGGCTAATCCAAGGGACGAAGGTGAACGCCGCAATCACCCTAGTGCCCATTCCAGGGCCGAGGGCTGGCGTCAAGCCTCTTCCCCTCACGTCTCGGACCTCCGAGACATCTTGAACGACCGCCACGCTAAGCTCAAAGCATGCGGTCTCAACTCTGAGCACTCCAGATTCCGTGTCGAGCACCACCGTGTTCGTGAAGACCGGGATGGCACGCAAGCCATGCCCGACCCCATGTTCGCCAAACTCCGAGCCGAGCTCGGAGCTATCAAATCCGAGCTCCAACAAGTTAAGGAAGGTAGAATTGACACCTCGGTTGGACAAAGCAACTGCCCAGGGAGAATGGATGCCTTCTCCCCTAATATCGTCTCTGAGCCTCTACCCTCGAACTTCAAGGCTCCTTGCCTTGGAGATGTACGATGGGAATACAGACCCGGACGACCACCTGGAGAGCTTCAGGGCACTCTTGATGTACGGATACTCTGATGCCTTGACGTGTTGGACTTTCCAGGCGACCTTCAAGGGAGCCGTTCGACGGTGGTTTTCTAGCCTCCCTCCTTGATCCATCACCTCATGGGAGCAGTTTTCCAACATGCTCCTCGCCCGCTTCATCAGTAGCCGACGCCCCCAAAAAAGTGTTGTCTCGCTGATGACTATCAAACAGAAGCGATGAGAGAGTTTGCGGTCATGCATCGACCGCTTCAAAAAAGAAGAACTCGAGGTCCATGACCTTGACTCCCTGGTCTCCATGCATGTTGCCATCAGTGGACTCCTCCTCGGCTTATCTCTCAAATGCTTCATTGCCAAAAGCCAGCCAAAGATGAAACTAGAGTTCCTAGAAAGGGCCCAAAAATACATTGCCATCGAAGAGGATTTGGTTATGAACACCCATGAGAGAGGCACAAAGCATTGGGATGGATCCCCCGAGAAGAAGAGGAAGAATGGAGACCAGGACTGCGGCAACGACAACAACAATAGGAAGCCACCAACCTCGACCTTGGCTTACAATCAATACATGCCACTCAACTTCACCTGCACACAAATTCTGATGCAAATCAGGTAGGAGAAATTTATGAAGTGGCCTAAAAAGTTGAAGAAGAACCCTCGCTAGGGGAACCCCAAAAATACCACAAGTTCTATAGAGGTACCGGCCACGACACCAAGGACTGTTATGATCTCAAAAACGAGATGGGGTCCCTCATTCATTGGGGCCACCTCAAGCAGTACGTTGGAGGCGAGGCCAACACCTCGTCCTCTCAATAGCAGCACCAACAAGCAACTGGCGTCATCAACGTCATAGTGGGAGGCACGGCCTTGGTTCGCAAAGCCTACGCCAAGTAGCTAAACATCCAAGGGTTGACCCCCAAGAAGTAGAAGCACGAACACCTTTCCTTCATGGACGAGGACCAGAAGGGGGTAGCAGTCCCCCATGACGACACACTGGTGGTCTTGGTCATCATTGCAAACTTTGTAGTCAAAAGGATTCTTGTTGATAGTGGTTCCTCAACCAACATCCTTTTCTACGAAGCTTTTGAGAAAATGAAGATAGCTCCGGAGCGCATCCAATCAGTAGATTCCCCACTAGTCGGCTTCTCCGGCAACATCGTCAAACCAGAGGTCATGAAGATCGGCTCACCCTACAACGCCATCATGCGGAGACCAACTCTTCACGCACTCCGAGCAGCCATCTCCTCTTACCACCTCACCTTAAAGTTCACCACTAAGCACGATGTCAGAGTTGTTTGTGGGGACCAATACGCTACCCATCAATGCTATATGGTAGCACTGGAGGGCAAGAATAAAGAAGCTCTGCCACTAGAAGGGCTCGACCTCAGGGAGGAACCAGCAAGTTGAGGCCAGTCGGCCGAGGACCTCGTCTCGGTTCCCCTAGACGAGTACAAGCCCGACAAAACAATCCACATCAGGTCCAACCTTCCCCCGAGAGCCTATCCGAACTAGTAAGTTTCCTCAGACTTAATGTCGACGTCTTTGCTTGGTCCGTCGCTGGTCATTACACAAAGGCTGAGAATGGACTCGAGCTCTAGGTTAGTTCGGCAAAAGAAGAGGAACTTTGCATCAGAGCATTGGAAGGCCATAAAGGAGGAAGTTAAAAAGTTACTCGACGTCGGCTTCATTCGAGAGGTACACTACCCAAACTGGTTGTCAAATGTGGTTATGGTAAAGAAAGCTAATGGGAAATGGTGGATCTGTATTGATTTCATAGACCTTAACCGAGCATGCCCCAAGGACAGTTTTCGTTTGTCGAGGATAGACCACCTCGTTGATGCCACTACATGGTGCGAGCTACTTAGTTTCATGGATGCCTTCTTCGGATACAATCAGATAAAGATTCACCCGGATGATGAAGAGAATACCTCATTCATCACCGAACATTGCACATACTGCTATCGTGTGATGCCCTTCGGCCTCAAGAATGCTAGGGCCACCTACCAGCACCTTGTCAACAAGGTGTTCAAAGAACAGATGGGGAGGAATGTCGAAGCCTATGTGGATGACATGGTAGTTAAGAGCCTGAAAGCCGAAACCCACGTCTCAGACCTAGTCGAGACCTTTGACACCTTGCAAAAATACAGCATGAAACTCAACCCCAATGAGTGTGCCTTCGGCGTCACATCAGGCAAGTTCTTAGGTTTCGTCGTCACTCAAAGAGGCATTGAGGCTAATCCTGATAAGATATAGGCCATACTAGACATGSYRCCYCCSYRGACGGTGAAGGAAACACAAAAATTCAATGGTCGAATAGCAGCCCTCAATCGCTTCATGTCAAAGTTAGCCGACCGCTGCCTACCCTTCTTTCGTGCCATCAAGAAGCTGAAAGAATTCCAATGGATGGAGGAGTGCCAGCGCGCTTTTGATGAGCTCAAGGTGTACCTTACTTTGCCTTCCCTCCTCGCTCAACCGACAAAAGGGGAAACCCTGTACCTTTACCTCTCGGCCGGGGATGAAGCAGTTAGTTCAGTCCTCATTAAGGAAGATGGCATACAAAAGCCAATGTACTATGCCAGCAAGGTCCTCTGCGATGCTGAGACCAGGTACCCCGAGATAGAAAAGTTGGCTTTCACCCTTGTGATTTCGGTAAGGAAACTTCGGTCGTATTTCTAGGCCCACACTGTAGTGGTCCTGATGAACCAGCCCCTCAAGGTCGTCCTAGCCAAATCTGAGACCTCGAGATGCCTGATGAAGTGGGCCATCGAGCTGTCTAAGTTCGACATCCAGTACCAGCCAACGCCCGCAATCAAAGCAAAAGCTCTAGCAGATTTCATAGTAGAATGCACCTTCAGTCGAGCCCTTTGCCAGCCCCTAGAAAATGTTGAGGGGGATAGTGTGGACGACGAGGCTCAAACTCGATGGAAGCTCGTTGTCGACAATTCCTCCAATGCTAAAGGAAGCGGAGCAGGCCTCATCCTTCTCACCCCAGATGATGTTGTCATGGAATACACGCTAAGGTTCGACTTCCCAGCATCAAATAACGAAGCCGAGTACAAGGCCCTCCTCACTGGTCTACAGCATGCTAGGGACCTCAGCTCTTCATACGTCGAAGCCTTCAACGACTCTTAGCTGGTGTTGAATCAAGTGACCGACGATTACGAGGCCAGGGAACAAAGTATGTTCAAGTACCTCACCAAAGTCCAAGATTTAGCCCGCCACTTCCAACGCTTCTCCCTACAATGGGTCTCACGAGCCGAG